GAGAGTTGGATGTGTCTTGCGGGTCAGCTGAACACCATGGAAGATAGTGTGCTTCAAGTAGCGCAGTGGCCTTTTTGCTGTTGTCTAGTGAGTGGCAGTAGGCTTATGCATGAATTGGGACAACTTATTCACAGCAAATGAGATGTCAAGTTGAGTGAGGGATAGGTATTGTAAGCTGCCAAGGACTCTTCTGTATTCATTGCTATCAAAGGAAGTTGTACCATCATTGAGTTTGAGAGGTGTGCTGGTTGAGAGATGAGTGCAAACATGTTTGGCACCAAGCATGCTTGTATTAGACAATAAGTCACAAATATACTTGTGTTAGGAAAGAAAGATACCATCCTTGGTGGGTAGAACTTCCACTCCTAAAAAATAGTGTAAGGAGCCCATATCTTTCAATGAAAATTTACAGCCAAGTTGTTCAACAATGGAACTCACAAATTTGGAGTCATTTCCAGTAATCACTAAATCATCCACATATACTAGAAAATAACAGATAATGGAATCATGTTTATAAATAAACAATGAGGAATCTGCCTTTGAATTCTCAAAACCAAACTGAAGTAGGGCATTTTTCAGGGCTGAGTACCATGCCCGAGGGGCCTGTTTTAGGCCATAGATGGCCTTGCGAAGTCGACAGACATGATCAGGTTTGGTCAAATCCTTAAAGCCTAGGGGTTGCAACATGTAAATTGTTTCACTGAGTTCCCCATGTAAGAATGCATTATTAATGTCCATTTGCCTCAAACTCCAACCATTCAGCACAACAATGGATAAAACAGTTCTGATCATGGTTGGCTTAACCACTGGATTGAAAGTCTCCTTGTAGTCAACACTTGGACGTTGGTTGTACCCTTTAGCCATAGGACGGGCTTTAAACCTATCCACCGACCCATCAGGTTTCCGCTTCACTCTAAAGACCCATTTGCACCCTATTGGGTTGCAGTGAAGTGGAGGAGGTATTAATTCCCATGTCCCATGCCGCATGAGGGCAGTGAGTTCGTGGGACATGGCCTCACGCCAGTGAGGTTCAGAGACGGCTTGACTCACACACGTGGGTTCAATGGTCTCGGATAGGGGCTGTTTGGTGACTAAGTGCAGTTGTTTTGGTTTGTAGATTTGGTTCATAGACCGAGTGGTCATGGAGTGGGTTCTAGAGGGGGGAGGGGGGGTGTTGAGGCTCAGAAAGTCAGGGAAAACTATTGCCTAGGTCAGGATGAGGCATGGGAGTAGAGGTTTGATTTGGAGTAGACAACAGATTAGGGGAATTAGGGTTTGTAGGCATTGAGTGAGTAGTTTGAGAATCCAAATGCAGGTGAGAAAAATCAGGTGAAGTAGAGACATGAGAATTACCTAGAGTGGCAGTGACCATGGTAGGAGCATCAACCGAAGGCACTTGTGGCGAAGAGAGTAGCACACGCGGCACAACACCTGGAAGAGGATTAGGAACCTGCGAGGAGCTTGAGTTGGGGTTAGGTGTTGAAGATGAATGGGTTTCGGTCAGTGGGCTTTGGGCCTCATCAAATAAAACGTGCCTGGAGATGTAAACACGTCGAGTGTTTGGATCAATACAGCGGTAGGCATTTTGAGTGAGGGAAAAGCCTAAGAAGATGCAAGGTGTAGATTTGGGCTCCATTTTGTGTTTCTTGTATGATCTAGTGAGAGGATAACACAAACAGCCAAATTTTCTTAATTTGAGATAATTTGGTTGTTGTCCAAAAAGGGCCTAGTACGAGGATTTATTTTGGAGCAACGTGGTGGGTTGACGATTTATGAGGTACGTGGCCATTTGAAATGCATGTGGCCAATATGAGAGAGGTAATTTGGCATCATGAAGCAAAGTGAGCCCGGTTTCCACAAGATGACGATGACGTCTTTCAGAGACGCCATTTTGTTGTGGTGTGTGTGGAGCGGTAGTTAAATGACTTATGCCATGAAGAGAAAGAAAGGATTTTAAACGCACATATTCACCCCCATTGTCCGAGTATAAGGATTTAATTTTGCACTGGAATCGATTTTCAACAAGAGTTTTGAATTGTGGAAAAATCATTGCGACCCCAGATTTTGTTTCCATGGGATAAAACCACATGTATTTAGTGTGATGATCAATAAAAATGAGATAATATCGAGAGCCATCAACACCAACACAATGAGCGGGGCCCCACACATCAATATAAATTAGTTCAAGAGGTGCCTTACTCGAGAGACTATTAGAGCCAAATGGTTGTTGATGAGCTTTATTAATAGAACATGAAGTACATAAAAGACAATCTTTATTTGATGTGATTGGAAGTGAAAAATTACGAACAACACTGTGGACAATTTTTTAGGACGGATGACTAAGACGTTTGTGCCATCCGTCAAGAGAGATTCTTTCATGCACATTAGCAACCATTTTGAAGGAAGATGCCACCAATGACTCCGGGAAGATGTACACACCATTTTCACATGCACCTTTTACCAGGGTCACTCCCGATATCTTGTCCTTCACAAGAAAAAAAGAAGGGTGAAATTCAACAAATACATTATTTTGAGATGTAAAGTGATGCACAGAGATAAGATTTTTGCAAAGGTTTGGGACACAAAGTGTATTTTTTAGAGTAAAATTTTTGTTAGGTGATTTTAGAGTGAGAGATCCAATGTGTGAGACAAGCAAACCTGAACCATCACCAAGCACAACTTCATCGATGCCATCGTATTCAGAATGAATGGATAAATTACTGAGATCTCCAGTGATATTATGAGACGCAACGGAGTCCATGAGCCATTTATTGTCCATGACATTAGAAGTAGATGTGCAGTTAGCAGTGACTGCATGAGAATTCAGTTGGGGCATGACTTGGTTGTGTGGCCAATTTGGTCACAAAATTGACATTTTGGCTGATATCGTTTCTGATTGGCATTGGGCAGGCCCGAGTGCTTGTTTTGTGGTCGTGAGTCTTTATTTTGGCCTTGATTGCATGAGAACCCAGAGGGCCTGCCTTGATTCTTTTGGTAAGAGCTTCTAGAATTAGGCTTGGGGTTCGTATAGTTCGCCGACACCACAATGGCGGTCTCAAGTCGCCGGAGATAGCTGTCGTGGCCTACCAGAAGATCGTGGAGTTCTTCAAAGGTCAAGGACTTCTCCCTCGCACAGATTGGCGCAGCTATTTCCCTGAAATCAGAACCCAAAGCATTAAAGATGTAAAGGGTTAGATCATCGTCAGATATGGGATGATCGATCAAAGCGATCTCATCAGCCAATGCCTTTATAGCATGGAGATACTCCGGAATCGAGCGATTTCCCTTTTGAATCAAGGTAATTTCTTCCTTGAGCTGCATAACCCTCATTCGAGATCTGCTAGCATACATATGATTCAATTTTTTCCATGCCTCGTGAGATGTTTTTGCGGTAGCTATGAGATGAGTGATAGTGGGGGAGGTTGAGGCAAGGATGGCACTGAGAATTAACTTATCTTGCCGAACCCAATGGTTTTTTTGTAGGACAGATTTGGGGTTGTCATCAGATGATGGACACACCGAAATTTCAGTAGCATAATCCAGCAAATCGTACCCAATGAGAAGAGCTTCGAATTGGGCAAGCCATTGTGCAAAGATGGAGGGGGTTAATTTCTCATTGATTTGGGCAGTGATATTGAGAGCAACAAGTGGTGTTTCGGTTGGAGAGGGAGGTTGGGTGTTTGGATTCTGGGAAGAAGACATTTCGAAAGAAAGGATCGGATTCTCATTTGAGGGGTCGAGAATTGTAGAGAGAATGTTTCAATGGAAATTTTCCTCAATACTATTGATGTGCTTAGTGTATAATTTATATAGAGTACATGCCATAAATTAAGGAATTACAACAATCTAAATATAGAAGAATATACATGAGTTTTTGCTAAAATCCTGCTGCACTATCTATTTACATTAATTACAGAAATTAGTAGCGCAATTCTTGGTCTGAATATCTGCATGATTTGTTGTTGATTGATCTGCCTTGATACCTTATTGGCAACCGAGAAGGGATTCGAATTCAAAACCTTTTAAATAATACACTCAATAGACCCTATCGAATCACTCAACCACCGGAAAATAGTTCAATAATTTTTATCTATCACTAAAGAAACTAATAAAAGGTTGAGAAGTCAGAATTATTAAAATAAATTTGGAATTTCATTTTTATTTATCATATTTTAAGAGTTTGATTAACTTTATTTAATTGGAAGATTGAGTAATCACTTTGACCAAAAAGTTTAAATTATTAGATAATAAGTATCTGGCAATAATATTAAAAGTCTAATAAATAATAATAAGCTATTATAAGTTTTGGTTATTAAAATATAACTATATTTTAGTTTCGAAATTCCAAGTCATAAAATTAACTATATTAAATTATAATTCCTCTCATGTTATTAACTAAATTCTCTCTAATATATTTGAAAAAGTTNGTTGAGAAGTCAGAATTATTAAAATAAATTTGGAATTTCATTTTTATTTATCATATTTTAGAGTTTGATTAACTTTATTTAATTGGAAGATTGAGTAATCACTTTGACCAAAAAGTTTAAATTATTAGATAATAAGTATCTGGCAATAATATTAAAAGTCTAATAAATAATAATAAGCTATTATAAGTTTTGGTTATTAAAATATAACTATATTTGAGTTTCGAAATTCCAAGTCATAAAATTAACTATATTAAATTATAATTCCTCTCATGTTATTAACTAAATTCTCTCTAATATATTTGAAAAAGTTAAAAAAAATATATTTTTATGTTAATCCAATAAGCTTCAGAATTATTAAAATTATTAAATTACATTTATTGAGTTTTATTATAATAACTTAATATATATATATATATATATATTATCGTCAGATCAACAAATTCTAAATAGCTGGATTAATATAATATATATATCTATATATTATCGTCAGATCAACAAATTCTAAATTGCTGGATTAATGTAATTACAGAATGTCCGCTACCCAACCGGCCAACCCAACAAATTTAACGCTACAAAGTATGGGATCCATTCGAAGTTTCGAACCACCCGATTAACTAACTGGACCCGATCCAATTCAAAAAAAACCTGCAGTTTCTACCCTCTTGGCTCTTGACACTCTCAAAGAGGGAAAACCCCATTAAACCCTAAATTGAAAATTGATTGAATTAACGTAGCAGCTTCAAAGCAATGGCTTTGACAGTCTCCAATGTATTTCACTGTCCAAACCCAGAAATTTCACTGAGGAATTATAATCTCAAAGCCCCACTTTCAAGATTCCCATCTTCTTTTGTTAGGTAATTTACGGGAAGATTTTCATTTCAAGCATTGTTTCTTCTTACTGTTATTAAAGTGTTTTGACATGTAGTTTTTTGTATGTTTAAAAGCTAAAGTTTTTAACTTTTCACTTAAATGGTTGTTTTGTTGGATAAGGTTGGATATGAAAAGAAAGTTTCATTCTGAATTTCGTCATTTTTTTTTTTTTGTATATATTTTAGGCATTAGAATTGCAAGTGTTAAAATAAAAATATGATAAGAACGTTACTTCATGAAGTGCCATTTTTTTTTTTTTTTTGGGTAATAAATGTGAATTTTTAACATGGAAGAATTTTGTATTAGCTAATTGGGTTTCATTTATTTATTTGCCTTGAAACATATAACTATAGCAGCAGGGTGTTGTATTTAACAGGTTTCCTAGAGCAATTTCATGGAATAAACGGATGATTTGTGCTGCTGCATCAGCTGCAGGAAGTTCGAATTCAGACAGTGAGTTAAATCCTTATGAGGTGATTTTGGTTCTTGCAAGGGATTTTGGTTAAAATCCCTTGTATTTTTGGGAACACTAAGTGAATGATTACCGGCTATCCACTTGTATCGGTGTTAATAGATTTTTGATGTTTGTGCTTTTCAGGTTCTAGGTGTGAGCCCCATTGAGGGATTTGAGAAGGTCAAGGCAGCATATGCAAAGAAACACAAGGAGGCTGAGAGAAATAATGATGAAGCAACTGCTGCCCGAGTAGGTTATATATATGTGTGTGTGTGTGTGTAGAAAAAGATAAAGTTTCCATACTTTGAGATTTTTTGATTTGTAAATGTCTTCCAGCTTGAGAAGGCATATGACAAACTCATGATGGAACAATTAAGTAAACGGAAAAAGGGGGTGACATTTGGTTCATTTAAGGTATGTTTGTGATTGTTTCTTTATTTCTTTTGAAGTTTCTTGAATTGACAGGTGAAACAATGATAGATATGGTGTTTAATACTTTTATGAATGAGAGGGTACAAGAATATACAAAAATGTAGATTGGCATATTGGCTATATGTATCCATGAGAACTTTGCTTGTCTGCTTAGATTATATTGTGTGTCATGACTTGAATCGACTATGATAGAGTGACATGCTTGTCGATGCCTGAGAACAATACATCAAGGAGAGTCCCATCCACTTGCTTATGTGAAATAATAGTTAGCAAAGTTAAGGCTCCGTTTGGTTCACTTTTTTACACTTTTTAGAAAAGTTTTTTGAAAAAAGTTAAAAAAAGTTGAATTGGGTGGGTATTACGATGTAAGATTTGAAAATTAATAAAAATACCTTCTATGTTTGTTTATTTACTAAACACCCCTATAATAAAACATTAAAAGTTAACAAAAACACCCCCAACCCACCCATTAAATATGGACAACCGGCCACTCAGCCGGAGGGTGGCCGGAGTCGCCGTATCGGCGCATGAGCGACTGGATCTTGTCGGTCGTGTGCCGATCTGGCCGGCAAAGGCTGTACGGCTAGATCTGGCCATTGACGGCTAGATCTGGCCGTATTTGCTCGTCAACGACGGCCAAAGATATGGCCGTCGTTGATGGTCAACGACGACCATGTGTTGGCCGTCGTTGACAACTGACTACGGCCAAAGATTTGGCCGTCAACGGTTAGATCTTTGGCCTTAGGCCAGATCCATTGTGGATCTAGCCGGAAAAGGCTAGATCGGTGCACTACCATCCAGATTCAGCCGGTAGTGCGCCATTATACCAGATTCCGGCCATCTTCCGGCGGTGGTGACCGGAATCTGGTAAACGTGGGTTGTTGGGGTTTTTTTTGCAATTTCTTAAAAAATATTTAGGGGTATTTAATTAAATTAATAAATTTAGGGGGTTTAAAAAAAGTTGAATAATATTATGAGTTTTTACAATTTTACTGTTTAACTTTATTGGAACTACTAATAATAGTATTCCCAAATGTGAGCCAAACGAAGCCTAATTTTCTGGTAAACTAGGGAAAATTTTGTATTTAAAATTGGAGAGAAATTATAGTTAATGCTTATAGAGATAGTTAAAGGAGATATCATTTGAGATAAGTATTCCACAAATTTTATCTTGAAGAATCTTTATTACTCCTTAAAACTGCTTACTTTCCTAAATAACTTCTTTAATAGTCATTTTTAGGGATATTAACTTAAGTGGTAGTGTATATGTAGTTGTCTGTGTTGTGGGTGAAACATATTTTGTAAATTCACTCTTTTGATCCTAAAGTTTCCCTTGGCTTATCAAAATTTAATAATTCATAAAATGGTTTATGTTCATACATATGTGATCTTTGCATGAAGAAGTGTATTCCTTCTCATACCTAGTTATGGCATTAAATTATTATGTGTTTTTATATACAATGCAGGTTTCAAAGGAGGTCAAATATGCTGATAAGCAACCTATTGTACCATGGGGGCCAAGGTTTTGTGATTGCTCATAGTAGGATAATATATTACTTCTAGCATTATCCATGTTTAATTATTTTATTACCATAATTTCTCTGTTCATTACTTTGTAGTTCTGTTATCATTAGTAGATGAATAATGACAAATGTGGTTAGCAGAATCTGAATTATGCCTGCATATAGGAGAGGGTAGTATATTTGCCTAGTAAAATTGAAGATCTGAAAACTGTTTTCTTGTCAGATTTTGGAAAATACTGTACATATCCCATTCATAAATTTATAATAGAGCATTGTGCATATTTTGTGGTAATTATCAATAGTCTTTGGTCTTTTAGCCTTGTGGCTTCTGTTGACATGCTGTTGTAACCCACTATATGTTGATAATCTATTAAGAGAAGCTAAGCCAGATTATATCTTTCTCCCAGTATTGTAACAGTTGCATAGACAGCTTTGTTCTGTTGTCACTTCAAATGTATTGCACTTATTTTGGGTCCTACTTTGTTTTCAGGTACTCCAAGTCTGATGAAAAAGACATGCGCATAAACTTAGCAATATCTGCAGCATTTGTAAGTATGAAAGATTGGTGACTCTGCCTTCTTGCTTATTCGTTTCGCTAACTATTGTTGGTTGCTAACAGTGACTATCAAACCAACTACAAAGGCCTGTGTGCTTTTTTATATTAGCAATCATAAGTTTGGTATTCTTCATTCAGCTCATGGACTTTGTACTCTTTGAATCTAAGACTGTTGCACTTTTGCTGGATCATATTTTTTTTTTGTTTTCCATGTCGTCTTTTGCTTGTCAAGTCATGGCATGACTCCTCTAGTGTATGTGTTTCAATGTTGCAACAACTGTCGCTTTTTCTTTTAAATGAATGTGGTGTTTTTGCTTTACTTTTTTTTTTTTTTTGCCCTTACATTTTGCTTTTCATTATGCAGATGGCTTGGATTGCTATCAAGCGCTATGCTGAATACAAACCTTTGCAATTTTTAGCTTTTGCATTTGTTTACCGAATTTTTGAGAAGTTGAAAAAATTTGAGCCAGCTGTATCACCAACAGTTACAGTGAGTGTAACTTGGCCTGCCTTTCTCATCATTTGGAACATTTTCTAGGTTTCCTCTCATATGGGACGTCATATCCATAAGAAGTTATCCACAATTTGAGTCACTCCAATTTGTTATAATATTCAAGTTGATCTTGGTTGCAGGAAGAGGGTGAAGATGATGGACGAGCATTGCGAATGGGAAAACGGATTCTTCGTTCCCTTGGACTTGTTTTCGGTTGTATTGCTGTTTCCTCTCTGGTATGATATAGTATGCAACTTCTTGCTATGCATCTTTAAGAATATGTTGATATTAACCTGTGTCAGTTGGGTTGCTTTGTAAGTTATAAATCTTAGTTTATGTGGTTGGTTGTCAGTACTTTGCAGCGACTGAGATATTTTTAAGAAAATGCTGGCACAACTGCTTTCTATCCTTGCTTTTTGTTGAAACTTTACCTTCCTATGGTTAGGCATATATCTTCTTGCTGAGGTTGTGGCATGCAAAGGCAAACCTCACTGAACCGATGCAGTTCTTATGAATGATTTAGGATAAAATCAGGAACTACGGATCATAATTACTTTAGCAAAATGAAATATCTGAACAAGTAACTAATTGTCTTAATATTGTTTAATTCATGTTTCTAAATGTTTGATGACAAAATTTGGTATCTCATGCCTTTCGGTTGTATTTACCGTTTCATTCTTTTAACATTTCACATTGAGAAATGAAAGGAAAATTTAAGAGTGTCATTAAATTCATAAAAATTCAAAGTTTGGTGTGATCAAAGTAGATAGATACTCCTATCTGGAGAAGCTGAAGTCTTTATAATCTCTTCCTTGAACCATATTCATTGTTTTGTATGGCTGCTTCATTATTTATATGGTTTGTCATATTGGAGATTATCAGTTACGGTAAATTTCAATAAAGTATGGTCTTGAAGTTTAGATAATGAGTTAGTGCTTACTCTCTTACCTCTATCATTGGCACTGACATTTTTGTGATTTTATGTAGGCATTCACTGGTATTTTGAATTTCATTGAATATGCAAACGGTTTCATACCTGTTTTTCTCTACAACAACCAGGTATTGACATTGACCTACTCTCACTGTTATAGCATAACTTTACACTCTCTAAGCAAGATATTATTTGCTTGTTGCAAATTTTGTACTCAAAAGTGATTTAAATTATCTGTAACTGACATATCTTCAATTTGTGACATTGGGAAAATTGCTTTTTGCTAACATAATACACGGCTTACATTCAATAATTGAGGTTCTTTATAAAAATATGTATCTCTTTATCTGTGCTTATGGATCAGCAAGAATGTTTGAATTCCCTGTGAAAATGAACACTTCTAATTTTCATATATATATGTTATCAAAACTCAGAAGTGATTTCTCCAATACTTCCAGTTCTTGCTCTTCTGGACAAAGAAACTTTTATGTTGTCTGTTGGTTTTCCACCCTGATGCCAAGTTTTCATGTGCAGGAACTGATAATCACAGCTTCATCTGCGGTCATGCTCTACATAATGGCATCGTATTACAGATGATGAATCCATGGAAGCTTTCACTGGGGAATCGGTTTGATTAGTAGTTAATATGGCTGTCAATTTTGTCAAATGAAATTCTAATCCTGTATGATGGACATCATTAAGCAAAGTAAGTTGGTTATAGCATCAATTTTATTCATTTGTAGTATGCAAGCCTATTGTTATATTGTTCATCTTCGGCAAAATTGGCTTTGGAATCCGACCAATAAATTTTGGAGTGTATCTAATTTTGTGTTTTTTTTTTATTTTTTTTTATTTTTCACATGTAGAAGTGTTATATTCATATGTAAAAGATGGAGCACTGCAGAATATTAGAACTGCACAAAGTAATTTTTAGATGAAAGACAATAATTGAAATCAATGTTCCATTTGTTGAGTTTAGATAGATGTCAAGTTGTTTTATTTTCTACTTAACAGTGTCAGAAGTACACCAATTGAGAATTTAAAAAAAAAAAAAAAAAAAAAAAAAAAGATAAAGTTGGCCATCATCATCATCTTCTTCGAGGCTACTTTGGTTTGGTTGTAGCTTTTGAAGTTGGAGCTCTCAGCCAAGATCTGCATTTCTACAACTATGATGGCAGTAATTTCAAAAAGTGCCCTATCATTAGAATTGTATATAGTGTTGACTGTTGCCTTTTCTTCACAATGACTCCTCCCTGTATCTGGGATAAATCTGAGCTTATAGAACTACTGAAAAACACCATTGGAGTCCAGCAGGCCTTAACAGTAGTAGTCACTGAAGGGTTCATCTGGTCTTCAACTTTAAGGGTTTATCTGGTCTTCAACTTTAAGGTTTTGAAAGATTAGTTAAAGTACATGGAAGATGATTTGAACACCATCGGTCATTAAAAAAAAAAAAAAAAAAAAAAAACCCTCTTTTATTATAATAATACTAGAAGTAAAATTTCATCATAGAAACTCAATTATGTGTATAATATGATTGGAGAAATTAAAATTAGAGATAAATAACATAAATTAAAATGAATGATGAGACATTTATTCAGGGTAATAAATTTAAGATTTTTTTGTAGTGCCAAATGAGATTCTTATTGGTATAATCTCAATTTTTATAAGTCTTTAAGTGAAACAGAGAATATTATTCAAATCTTTGTTAATCATATTTATTTTCATGAGTTCACGAGTTTGAATCTCTTCAAACATTAATAGGAGCAATTATTGTTCATTGAAACTCTTATTTAGCTGACAGTTTGAAGATCTTGGCCCGAACACCCTCCGGTGATAAAAAGTAATGGTTATTTTTATATCATTTTATCGTCTTAGAACATCTTCAAATGACTCTTTATATGACCTAAACTCTTTATTATAATGAGTCTATCCATAAAAATAAGAGTCTAACATGCTCTTTATCTTTAAAATATAAATTAGAGAGCGAGTTTGGCTCTCCACATTTAGAGAGTCAAATTTCATTCTCTATCATAATTTTAATTAATAAATTATAAGTTCCTATGTATTTTATTTATTAATTCTCTCTCCCATTAACTCTCTTTCTTAAAAATAAAAAGCATCTTCATTAAATTTAAAGAGTCTATTAGATTTAATAAAAATTGTGTTCTTTATATTTTAAAATTAATAAAGATAATCTTTATTTATATGAAAGATGCTCTTCAAAATAAAGAGCATGGTCTTATCTTCAATGTTATACATGTCATAACCCAAACCCGGATTCTGAAACCCGAAATACCAAACCCGTCAAATATGGATCTAGATATCAAGTATTATTGTATTAATCAACAAATATACACACATGTTTCCTAATTTCTGGTCCAAGTATATAAACCGCCAGCAATATCACCACCATCTTCAACACAGATTCAGAAAGAGAAACAAACAAATAGACAAAGAAACCCTAGCTAGGGTTTTATCCAATCCAAGATAATACAGTAGCTGGGTGTTGAATCAATCAAAAGAGAGGCAAGATGAGGATTATGATAAAGGGAGGCGTGTGGAAGAACACGGAGGATGAAATCCTTAAAGCCGCCGTTATGAAATATGGCAAAAACCAGTGGGCCCGTATCTCCTCCCTCTTGGTTCGTAAATCCGCTAAACAGTGTAAGGCTCGCTGGTACGAGTGGCTGGATCCCTCCATCAAAAAAGTAAGTTCATTTCTTCTTTCTTACTTAGTTTGTCTTATCTTTTATGGGAAATGTGAGTTGTCGTTTTTTAGTCTCTATTTTTCAAAATGAACCAACATTGATGATTTCTGCGGTTGTTTTGGATTTGATTCTGAGATGAAGTTGTTAGATTGGGCGATAAGTTGAGTGAGGGTTTAGTATTTTTCGTTCATTGTGGTGCATTTGAATTTGAATTAGTTTAAGGAGGAATTTGGGACTACTGAAGGTGTTTGGAAATTTTCCATATTTTCGCGTGGATAAGATCACAGTTTAGTTGATGTAATTTGTATTTTTTGTACTTCATCATGCTGGATAATGTTCATGTTTTTTTTTTTTTTTTTTTTTTTTTTTTTTTTTTTAACTGATTATTGTGGTATTTCTAGACTGAATGGACAAGAGAAGAGGATGAGAAGTTGCTTCATCTTGCTAAGCTTATGCCCACACAATGGAGAACAATTGCTCCAATTGTTGGCAGAACTCCATCTCAGTGCCTTGAGAGATATGAGAAGCTCCTTGATGCAGCTTGTGCCAAGGATGAGAACTACGAACCAGGTGATGATCCACGGAAATTGCGTCCTGGGGAGATTGACCCAAACCCAGAATCAAAGCCTGCTCGTCCGGATCCAGTTGATATGGATGAAGATGAGAAGGAAATGCTTTCTGAAGCGCGAGCTCGTTTGGCCAACACTAGGGGCAAAAAGGCAAAAAGAAAGGCCAGGGAGAAACAGCTTGAAGAGGCTAGGAGGCTTGCTTCTTTGCAAAAGAGGAGAGAACTTAAAGCTGCTGGAATTGATAATAGACACAGGAAAAGGAAAAGAAAGGGAATTGATTATAATGCCGAAATTCCCTTTGAGAAGAAGCCTCCTCCGGGCTTTTTTGATGTTACTGATGAAGATAGGCCTGTAGAACAAGTTAAATTCCCAACAACCATTGAAGAACTTGAAGGGAAGAGGAGGATTGATTTAGAAGCTCAGTTAAGAAGACAAGATATTGCAAAGAACAAAATTGCGCAGAGACAGGACGCTCCTTCATCCATACTGCAGGCGAACAAGATGAATGATCCAGAAACAGTTAGGAAGAGGTCAAAACTGATGCTTCCTGCACCTCAGATTTCAGACCATGAATTGGAGGAAATTGCAAAAATGGGTTATGCTAGTGATCTTCTTGCTGGGAATGAGGAACTGTCAGAAGGCAGTGGTGCAACTCGTGCTCTTCTTGCAAATTATGCACAGACACCACAGCAGGGAATGACACCATTACGAACCCCACAAAGAACACCAGCTGGAAAGGGTGATGCTATTATGATGGAGGCTGAAAATCTGGCTAGGTTGAGAGAGTCACAGACACCATTATTAGGAGGAGAGAATCCAGAGTTGCACCCTTCAGATTTTTCTGGGGTCACTCCAAAGAAAAGGGAAATCCAAACACCTAACCCAATGCTGACTCCTTCCGCAACACCTGGTGGTGTGGGACTTACTCCCAGAATTGGCATGACACCTTCAAGGGATGGTTATTCTTTTGGTGTGACTCCTAAAGGAACTCCCATCAGGGATGAGCTCCACATAAATGAGGACATGGATATGCATGACAGTGCAAAACTTGAACAAAGAAGACAAGCTGATCTGAGAAGAAACTTGCGCTCTGGTCTGAGTAATCTCCCACAGCCCAAGAACGAGTACCAAATAGTTGTCCAGCCACCTGCAGAAGATAATGAAGAACCAGAAGAGAAGATTGAAGAAGACATGTCTGATAGGTTAGCCAGAGAAAGGGCCGAGGAAGAAGCAAGGCAGCAGGCATTACTTCGGAAGAGATCAAAAGTGCTGCAGAGGGAGCTTCCTCGGCCTCCGGTTGCTTCATTGGAACTAATTAGAAATTCTTTATTGAGGGCTGATGGAGACAAGAGTTCCTTTGTTCCTCCCACTTCTATTGAGCAGGCTGATGAAGTGATAAGAAAGGAACTTCTAACACTACTAGAGCATGATAATGCTAAATACCCCCTTGAGGAAAAGGTGGAGAAGAAAAAGAAGGGCTCCAAGCGTTCTGCTAATGGATCTGCTGCTCCTGTTCCCGTGATTGAAGATTTTGAAGAAGAAGAGCTGAAGGAGGTTTGTTTTTAGTCACGTCTTTTGCCAGCATACTTTCTACAATTTCTTCTTTTCCTTGTATACATATAGTTATAGCTAGATAGACTATGCCATAAACTTTTTCCCCTCTTTTCAGCGGTACCATCTTCTGATTATTTAAGGTTAAGAAACATTCTTGTTGCTATACGATAGGCTGTAAGGGTAAATTGCAGTTGGACAAGGGATTTATGGGATGTGAGAAGGCTGCCTGTCCAATGAGTTTTGTATGGATCAAAACAAAAGAAAAATAATAATTTTAAAGGTTAACTACATTCACCAATTTTAGTATAAGGGTAGAACTGAGCTGCTTCCTTTATGATTTAAAAAAAAAAAAAAAAAATTATTTTCTTTCATATGAACTTTTGTATGAATTCAGAAAGTAGCAGTACTTCAACTAATAATTTATGTTGCTCTTAATTTTTGATCTGTTGTCTGTATGAGATAAAGTAAGCGGGGAAGATGTCTTATGAATGTGGGATAAAGTAAAAATTTGGGCATTTATTTCTTATGAGTTCCAGGAATTCTCTTTCTTCTTTGTTCAACACAATTGGGAAGCTTCAATTGCATCGCTAGGGAAAGATTTTGTGTAGATTTTGAGTAGGGATTTTTTATGTTTTTGGAATAGCAGCTGCTTTATACATCTTGTGTAGTTTTTGGAGCCTTTGGGTTCTGAAACAGCTTGTACGTTTTGTGGACAATGTCTATTCTTGGATACTTTTTTGTTCTAATATGGTAACTTAGTTCCTAGCAATAAAAAAAGGGTTTGATGTTGCCTGGTTATAGAATGATGCCAGTTTTACTCCAGCCAGAATCCTTCTCTTGCTCAAAACTCCTTGTTTTCTTCAAATTTTCATTCTTAACTATTTATATTTTAACATTTTCAGTTAGAAATCTCTCGACCTTCCCCATACGTTTACGGAGTTCAAAAGTGGGTTACATCCAGACCTTACAACATATGGAGCAAATTAGCTTGTGAGATATAGTTTCTTTTGTTGGTGGTCCTAGTGTATTTTATTCCATGACTTCTTGGGTGAAAGCAAGGGCTTTACCACTAAGCCCAAGCCTGAGGTTAAATTTCAACTGTTAATGGTTCTGAATTTGGTTTGAATCATTATGTCTGGAAGTGCTCAAATTATAGGATAATAGGCAAGGTCTGATTTTAATGCATTGATTGAAGTTCTGCTGTATAGTTTGGGTCATATATCTCATAATTTAGCTTTAGGCGAATTTTTTTTTCATTACCTTTTGTATTTTGTTATAATCAACAGCCATACTCTTATGATACAAGCACTTAATATTTCAAATGATGCCTTCTTTCCATGAGTCCTCTATTTGTGATGCATTTGGCTTTATTTATGGTCTTGTTGCAGGCTGATATTTTGATAAAGGAAGAGACTCAGTATCTTCGTGTAGCAATGGGGCATGAAAATGAATCCCTTGATGAATTTGTGGAAGCACACAATACTTGTTTAAACGATCTCATGTACTTCCCCACCCGAAATGCTTATGGTCTCTCAAGTGTAGCTGGAAACATGGAGAAACTTGCAGCCTATCAGAGCGAATTTGAGATTGTGAAGAAGAAGATGGATGATGATAAGGAGAAGGCTTTACACCTTGAGAAAAAAGTCAAAGTTCTCACACAAGGTTATGAGGTATGCTGTGGTATGCCTGCTGATCATTTCTCTGTTATTATATGTATTAATTTGGTTGGAATTTTTTGCTTCTATTCTGTTAATGGTTATGTATTTTCTTTGAGAGTTTAGGTTGTGTTGTGTTTGAATGGTCCACCAAATATGATTTCTTGCATTTCTTGCATGTGGGCAAAATAAAATGCAATTATAGTACATAGGACTACAACTGTTTACTGCTATTATTACTTTTTCAAACATAAATAATACAGAGGCCTATAGCTGTTTAATGCCCTGTATTATATGTATTTGAAGATAAGTAAGCTTTGACTTGAATTAGTTTTGTAGCTCAGCATCATCGTATTGGAAGATCTACAAGTAATGATTCTACAGATGATGGGGAGTTGTTTAGATATTAATGAAGATCAGCATAGGATGTAATAGTATTTGATCAGACAAGCTGTAGGAGTTGGACCGGCATATTTATAAAAATCAGACCCTACTCTATTTTTATTGCTGATTTCTAAATTTTATGAATAAGAAACAAATTTTTTTCTCCTTTAGTTTAGAATTTTTCGAAGTTAATTTAATTTGTATAATATGAAAGATAATCAAATGATTAGTAGATTATGTGGATTAAGCCCAATTATAAGCTGTCTTTATCAGTCATGGCTGTTGTTTGAAATCAGAGTTTTAGATTTCTAAATTGTTGACATTCTGAATGATCAGAAACGGGCTGAAAATCTGCGAAACCAAATACAAGCGACCGTCAAACAGATGGAGACTGCTGGAACAGAACTTGAGTGTTTCCAAGCGTTGCAGAAGCAAGAGCAACTGGCAGCATCAAACAGAATAAATGGTCTGTGGGAAGAAGTTCAGAAGCAAAAGGAGCTTGAGCAAACATTACAAAAGCGCTATGGAGATCTCTTGGCTGAGCTGGAAAGAGTAAGCCGTCACATAAATGAATACAGAGTACAGGCACAAAAACAAGAAGAAATTGCTGCAGAGAAGCATGCATTGGAGGCGGCTGCAGCAAATCAAGCCATTGAGCAAAATTCAGAAGCCCCGGAATCTTTACCTTCAGGGGAACTTGGAAGCTCTATGCCAGTTGAGCCATCTCATGGTGAAAATCCAGGCCCACAAATAGACGGTGCTCACGTGGATGTTGAGTCAGGGGAAGATCATTTAACACCTGATGCAGATGTGAGGCAAAATGTTGTGGAAGCCAATCCAGACGTGGTCGCCCAAGAAACTGTAAAATATAGTGGTTCAGCTAATGAGGATGTCATGGAAGTTCCTAGTGCTGAAGCTGACAATGCATCCTTGGCCTCCAAAGAGTTGGAGGCCAAGGACAATCTGCCTATCATGAATGGAGATTCTACCGACAAACAAGCAGGAGATGATAGTGCTAGTTCAGAACTGGTAAACACAGAATTGGATGGGAAAAAAGAGAATCAAGAGAATATGGTGATAATACACGACGATAATTAGAAATCTCCCTATTAATACAGTAACCTTTTGGGAGTTGAAGAATTGTGAATTGAGGTTGTTATGTAATGTTTCAGGGGACATTGGCTATTTGGATTCATATGCGCATAATCTTCCATTAATGTCTTGAGCAAAACTGGAACAGGGATGCCATGTGTTTCTGTTTAAATCCTAAAAGAGAGACCAGAAAAAAGAGTTTAATCTGGTCCTTTGTACTTTGTAACTGTTACGGAAGTGAAACTTTAGTTGTGCTTTTTCTATGGATAATTTTTGTTCTGGATAATTTACTAATTAACTTTTAGAATTATATTTGCCCCGTACTGTTGTGTTGACGTATTATAAAAAAAAAAATTTATAAATTTTTAGCCATTTTATTTCTCCTTCGATAGGCTCAAACTTGTTTATGTCATGATAAATAATACTAATTGGTAGGCATTTTGATTCACTTGCACATTGTTCGAAAACTACGGAGTGATTATTCAAAATGATGCTTCCGCACCTCAGATTTCAGACCATGAATTGGAGGAAATTGCAAAATGGTTATGCTAGTGATCTTCTTGCTGGGAATGAGGAACTGTCAGAAGGCAGTGGTGCAACTCGTGCTCTTCTTGCAAATTATGCACAGACACCACAGCAGGGAATGACACCATTACGAACCCCACAAAGAACACCAGCTGGCAAGGGTGATGCTATTATGATGGAGGCTGAAAATCTGGCTAGGTTGAGAGAGTCACAGACACCATTATTAGGAGGAGAGAATCCAGAGTTGCACCCTTCAGATTTTTCTGGGGTCACTCCAAGAAAAGGGAAATCCAAACACCTAACCCAATGCTGACTCCTTCCGCAACACCTGGCGGTGTGGGACTTACTCCCAGAATTGGCATGACACCTTCTAGGGATGGTTATTCTTTTGGTGTGACTCCTAAAGGAACTCCCACAGGGATGAGCTCCACATAAATGAGGACATGGATATGCATGACAGTGCAAACTTGAACAAAGAAGACAAGCTGATCTGAGAAGAAACTTGCGCTCTGGTCTGAGTAATCTCCCACAGCCCAAGAATGAGTACCAAATAGTTGTCCAGCCACCTGCGAAGATAATGAAGAACCAGAGAGAAGATTGAAGAAGACATGTCTGATAGGTTAGCCAGAGAAAGGGCCGAGGAAGAAGCAAGGCAGCAGGCATTACTTCGGAAGAGATCAAAGTGCTGCAGAGGGAGCTTCCTCGCCTCCGGTTGCTTCATTGGAACTAATTAGAAATTCTTTATTGAGGGCTGATGGAGACAAGAGTTCCTTTGTTCCTCCCACTTCTATTGAGCAGGCTGATGAAGTGATAAGAAAGGAACTTCTAACACTACTAGAGCATGATAATGCTAAATACCCCCTTGAGGAAAAGGTGGAGAAGAAAAGAAGGGCTCCAAGCGTTCTGCTAATGGATTCTGCTGCTCCTGTTCCCGTGATTGAAGATTTTGAAGAAGAAGAGCTGAAGGAGGTTTGTTTTTAGTCACGTCTTTTGCCAGCATACTTTCTACAATTTCTTCTTTTCCTTGTATACATATAGTTATAGCTAGATAGACTATGCCATAAACTTTTTCCCCTCTTTTCAGCGGTACCATCTTCTGATTTTTAAGTTTAAGAAACATTCTTGTTGCTATACGATAGGCTGTAAGGGTAAATTGCATGAGTTGGACAAGGGATTTATGGGATGTGAGAAGGCTGCCTGTCCAATGAGTTTTGTATGGATCAAAACAAAAGAAAAATAATTTTTAAAGGTTAACTACATTCACCCAATTTTAGTATAAGGGTAGAACTGAGCTGCTTCCTTTATGATTTAAAAAAAAAAAAAAAAATTATTTTCTTTCATATGAACTTTTGTATGAATTCAGAAAGTAGCAATACTTCAACTAATATTTATGTTGCTCTTAATTTTGATCGTTGTCTGTATGAGATAAAGTAGCGGGAAAGATGTCTTATGAATGTGGGATAAAGTAAAAATTTGGGCATTTATTTCTTATGAGTTCCAGGAATTCTCTTTCTTATTTGTTCAACACAATTGGGAAGCTTCAATTGCATAGCTAGGGAAAGATTTTGTGCAGATTTTGAGTAGAGATTTTTTATGTTTTTGGAATAGCAACTACTTTATACATCTTGTGTAGTTTTTGGAGCCTTTGGGTTCTGAAACAGCTTGTACGTTTTGTGGACAATGTCTATTCTTGGATACATTTTTGTTCTAATATGGTAACTTAGTTCCTAGCAATAAAAAAAGGGTTTGATGTTGCCTGGTTATAGAATGATGCCAGTTTTACTCCAGCCAGAATCCTTCTCTTGCTCAAACTCCTTGTTTTCTCTCTCAAATTTTCATTCTTAACTATTTATTTTTAACATTTTCAGTTAGAAATCTCTCGACCTTCCCCATACGTTTACGGAGTTCAAAAGTGGGTTACATCCAGACCTTACAACATATGGAGCAAATTAGCTTGTGAGATATAGTTTCTTTGTTGGTGGTCCTAGTGTATTTTATTCCATGACTTCTTGGGTGAAAGCAAGGGCTTTACCACTAAGCCCAAGCCTGAGTTAAATTTCAACTGTTAATGGTTCTGAATTTGGTTGAACAGTAGTAGTCACTGAAGGGTTCATCTGGTCTTCAACTTTAAGGGTTTATCTGGTCTTCAACTTTAAGGTTTTGAAAGATTAGTTAAAGTACATGGAAGATGATTTGAACACCATCGGTCATTAAAAAAAAAAAAAAAAAAAAAAAACCCTCTTTTATTATAATAATACTAGAAGTAAAATTTCATCATAGAAACTCAATTATGTGTATAATATGATTGGAGAAATTAAAATTAGAGATAAATAACATAAATTAAAATGAATGATGAGACATTTATTCAGGGTAATAAATTTAAGATTTTTTTGTAGTGCCAAATGAGATTCTTATTGGTATAATCTCAATTTTTATAAGTCTTTAAGTGAAACAGAGAATATTATTCAAATCTTTGTTAATCATATTTATTTTCATGAGTTCACGAGTTTGAATCTCTTCAAACATTAATAGGAGCAATTATTGTTCATTGAAACTCTTATTTAGCTGACAGTTTGAAGATCTTGGCCCGAACACCCTCCGGTGATAAAAAGTAATGGTTATTTTTATATCATTTTATCGTCTTAGAACATCTTCAAATGACTCTTTATATGACCTAAACTCTTTATTATAATGAGTCTATCCATAAAAATAAGAGTCTAACATGCTCTTTATCTTTAAAATATAAATTAGAGAGCGAGTTTGGCTCTCCACATTTAGAGAGTCAAATTTCATTCTCTATCATAATTTTAATTAATAAATTATAAGTTCCTATGTATTTTATTTATTAATTCTCTCTCCCATTAACTCTCTTTCTTAAAAATAAAAAGCATCTTCATTAAATTTAAAGAGTCTATTAGATTTAATAAAAATTGTGTTCTTTATATTTTAAAATTAATAAAGATAATCTTTATTTATATGAAAGATGCTCTTCAAAATAAAGAGCATGGTCTTATCTTCAATGTTATACATGTCATAACCCAAACCCGGATTCTGAAACCCGAAATACCAAACCCGTCAAATATGGATCTAGATATCAAGTATTATTGTATTAATCAACAAATATACACACATGTTTCCTAATTTCTGGTCCAAGTATATAAACCGCCAGCAATATCACCACCATCTTCAACACAGATTCAGAAAGAGAAACAAACAAATAGACAAAGAAACCCTAGCTAGGGTTTTATCCAATCCAAGATTATACAGTAGCTGGGTGTTGAATCAATCAAAAGAGAGGCAAGATGAGGATTATGATAAAGGGAGGCGTGTGGAAGAACACGGAGGATGAAATCCTTAAAGCCGCCGTTATGAAATATGGCAAAAACCAGTGGGCCCGTATCTCCTCCCTCTTGGTTCGTAAATCCGCTAAACAGTGTAAGGCTCGCTGGTACGAGTGGCTGGATCCCTCCATCAAAAAAGTAAGTTCATTTCTTCTTTCTTACTTAGTTTGTCTTATCTTTTTTGGGAAATGTGAGTTGTCGTTTTTTAGTCTCTATTTTTCAAAATGAACCAACATTGATGATTTCTGCGGTTGTTTTGGATTTGATTCTGAGATGAAGTTGTTAGATTGGGCGATAAGTTGAGTGAGGGTTTAGTATTTTTCGTTCATTGTGGTGCATTTGAATTTGAATTAGTTTAAGGAGGAATTTGGGACTACTGAAGGTGTTTGGAAATTTTCCATATTTTCGCGTGGATAAGATCACAGTTTAGTTGATGTAATTTGTATTTTTTGTACTTCATCATGCTGGATAATGTTCATGTTTTTTTTTTTTTTTTTTTTTTTTTTTTTTTTTTTAACTGATTATTGTGGTATTTCTAGACTGAATGGACAAGAGAAGAGGATGAGAAGTTGCTTCATCTTGCTAAGCTTATGCCCACACAATGGAGAACAATTGCTCCAATTGTTGGCAGAACTCCATCTCAGTGCCTTGAGAGATATGAGAAGCTCCTTGATGCAGCTTGTGCCAAGGATGAGAACTACGAACCAGGTGATGATCCACGGAAATTGCGTCCTGGGGAGATTGACCCAAACCCAGAATCAAAGCCTGCTCGTCCGGATCCAGTTGATATGGATGAAGATGAGAAGGAAATGCTTTCTGAAGCGCGAGCTCGTTTGGCCAACACTAGGGGCAAAAAGGCAAAAAGAAAGGCCAGGGAGAAACAGCTTGAAGAGGCTAGGAGGCTTGCTTCTTTGCAAAAGAGGAGAGAACTTAAAGCTGCTGGAATTGATAATAGACACAGGAAAAGGAAAAGAAAGGGAATTGATTATAATGCCGAAATTCCCTTTGAGAAGAAGCCTCCTCCGGGCTTTTTTGATGTTACTGATGAAGATAGGCCTGTAGAACAAGTTAAATTCCCAACAACCATTGAAGAACTTGAAGGGAAGAGGAGGATTGATTTAGAAGCTCAGTTAAGAAGACAAGATATTGCAAAGAACAAAATTGCGCAGAGACAGGACGCTCCTTCATCCATACTGCAGGCGAACAAGATGAATGATCCAGAAACAGTTAGGAAGAGGTCAAAACTGATGCTTCCTGCACCTCAGATTTCAGACCATGAATTGGAGGAAATTGCAAAAATGGGTTATGCTAGTGATCTTCTTGCTGGGAATGAGGAACTGTCAGAAGGCAGTGGTGCAACTCGTG